TTCGTGACAATGCTACAGTGCGGGTGGGGTAACGGTGACAGAAAACCAACCGAGAACCCGCCGAGGCCCGTGCATAAACCACGTGGTTTCGTTTTCAACCGCAAGATAAAAATCGCACCTGGCCGGGCCATCCTGCCCGTGTATCGAGTAACGTTGTCCACTTCGGTACGCCCGGCGACGTCGTCCACCTTCCCCCCGAAAAATTTTCCTGTCGGACCCACTGTGTGTGGCCCACCAAAAGAATGGTCGAAGCACTATCAGGGCACTAACAAGCCATTTGGCTTGTTTTGCTCGCGTTCTCCGACTCCTTTCAACAACGACGTCGGCAACGCAACTGGGCCAAAAGAGCAGAGAATGGCTGGCAAAGGTGTGGCGGTGCCTATTGCCAGTCGAGGGGAAGGCCTGCACCCTATCGCCCAGGGCGCGCGCCTCGCGCGCGCCGAAATCTCGACAATCGGACTGCTCCAACATCCGCGCATCACCAGACCGCCCTTTGACTTCCTTTCGCTTTCGCCTCGCGGGTACACGACACGCGACGAAACGATGAACACACAAGAAGACTGCAGGCCGGCAAGCAGTTAGAACACATTGGACGAATAGCCGGCCCGGCCGCCGCCGTCCCCCGCCATCCTCGCGACTTCTCGTCCCCGACATCCTCGCGACTTCGCGTCCCTACCATCTTCGCGACTCCTCCTCGGTCGACCGCATCCTAACGATATGCACGGCGCAAGATTGGCCTGTTTAGCACGCATATGGCTTGCCATGGCCTGCATAAGCACGCACGCGCAAGATTTGCCTGACCGCACGCGCCTCTGTTTGTTGTCACGCTGGGCTATACTGAAGTATAGGTGGCATCGCACGCGCAAGGTCTTGTCGCGGCTCTGTTTGCCAGCGTGACCGTAAAGGCCCGACCTGCACCACGTTGGCAAACCGCGCAGCCTATCGTTCGATACGCAGAAAAACACACAAAGAGCACACCGGGTTGGAACTAGGCCCTCCAGCCCACGAACTTTTCTTTCTTTGGCCGGGCCCAGGGGGGACCTTTGCGGCACCTCCCCGACCAAACCCGGCCTTACTCTATTTCCGGCACTTTGCCGGCCGACTGCTTTCTCTACCACCCGCGGCGCTTATTGCGCCGCCGCTGCGCCCAAGGCGCCCCGGCGTTTATTCGCCCTTTTGCTGATTGCCCGCTCACCAACAAGGAGCGCCGGAATGCGGCCCGATCTCCGTGCCTTCGGGCTTAATTTGTTAGCCGCCTCGATAGCAACATGTAGCCTAGTGTCAAGCTTAGGTAGCGCTAGCACGTTGTATGCCCCCTGAGAGGCAGGGACTGGTAGATCCCGACTTACCGACGTTAAATATACTCTCTCTCTCTCTTTTTTAAAGCGCGGCAATGGACATCCATGCCGTTGCCGTCCCGCCGGGGCCAACCGTCCACTTTAAGCGTGTTTCGCAACGAACCTTTGCCACAGTGACTCTTTCAGGGATTACACATGCGACCCAAAGGACAGTGCAATGTAACAAAAGGGTCAGCCTCCAACAATCCAATTGACGGAGGGGCAGGCAAAAGCCTTAACAACCACTAAACGGTAGCTCCGGGGACAATGAACCTCTCCGTAGTCATCTGTGGATCTCCTCGTAAGGCCATCGGCCAGCCCCTTCACAAGGCTCCCTTGGCAAACAAGGATCCTTCATT